TCAGGAACTTGCCGCTGCTTCGCTCCACACGGTGCCACTTGTCCTTCTTCTCCTCCTTCTCCCTGCTCCTCTCTCCGCTGATCTGCAGCACTCTCCCTTCCTCGACCTCCACTTTGACCTCTTCCTTCTTCAACCCCGGAAGATCCGCCTTGAACACGTGAGCCTCCGGCGTCTCCTTCCAATCGATGCGCGTGTTCACGAACGCCGATGTCTCGCTGGCCGGTCCACCAGCATTGGCGACGGCGTTGGAGAACGGGAATCCTTCAAACGGATCCCATATGTCGAGAGAGAATGGATCGAAGACGTTGCTCCGACGACCTCCAAAGATGCTTGGAATCAGAGACATTGTATTGATGTCAAACAAAGAGCTAATAAGTCGGCCTTGTTGAGAATATGTGATGGACTTCGAACAGATTTCTTCCGATGCTTGGTTGAAGGCATGGCTTGCGTTTATATACGCGAGAGACTGTGAGTCTGGGATGACGCCAGCACTTTCAGGGAGGTTCCAGAAAACTTTTGTGCAATCTTCCATTCTCTGTTCGCCATAGTTCTACACAATTCCGACGTTGAGAGACGATTCGGTCATACTCCCTCCATCCCTTATAACTTTGCCAACTTTCCTTTTTTGGATGTCCCACTAACTTTGCCACTTTCCCTTTTAAGTAAAAAATTTGTGGTTCCAGTTAATTCTCTCTCCTCTGCACAAACCTCAACCACATAGCTTTTACTTTATTAATTCATGTGTCAGTCAAACTTGGCAAAGTTATTAGGGACGGAGGGAGTATTCACGTTAGATGTTTTGACTTTTGAGCATATAAAAATGGGGGCTGGGCAGCCCAAAACATCCCAAAACCGGCTTTTACTTTTATTTAAGTTTCTTTTAGTTGTGGGCCACTGGGCCGATCCAATCAATTTGTTGGATTAGTGTTTAGTTCATTGATATCCATGATGTTGTGGCATTTGGGTAATTCTATTCACAGCCCCGTAATTACTACACACAGCCATCAATTTATTTAAATTATATACTCCCTTCGTCCCGTTGGAATGTTCCCGTTCACTATTCATTGGTCAACTTAGGTCACTCCTAATCTTTTAATTTATATATCAATTTTTTATCAAATTGAATTTTTCTTGATCAGGCTTTGTAGCGGTTTTAATGTAGTTTCTGAATATGTAAATTTTATTTACTAAAAATAAGCGGAGTGTGAACAAGGATCGAGTTGTTTTATCGTCAGTCAAGCATAGTAAACCGAACGTGAACATTCCAACAGGACGGAGGTAGTATTAATTAAAAAAAACAAGTTTTATACCTAAGAGTTACCCTTAGCTGGTAAGTCTCCGTCGTTGAAATAGCGGCTCTATTCAAAAGCTCTCTTCGTGGTCTTCTTCTCTTTTCCTCATCTTCAATCATTCATCTTGGTCAGATTCATCCTCCATATTTTTTTCGAATAGAGTGATGCAAGAAGGACATGGAGATGGTTGAACACTGAAAAAACTGGTCTTACCCCATTCGGAGATGCCGTTTTTGCTCTAAATCTTTAATATTTGCTGGAGAAGCCTCGGGCTAGAGACCAGTTAGGGAGGAGATGAAGAGAGAAGGTCCTTTGTCATTTGTGAATTGATTTCCCCCATTTAATTTTAAAATTCACAGTTGGGAATCTAAAAAAAATAGGAATCGTAAACTCCAAATTATGTATTAAGCAATTCAACCCTCAATAAACCCTCCGTCGATTGCCATTCAACCTTATGTATTAAGGGGGTGTTTGGAACTGATTCTGCTTCTGCTTCTTTTTTAAAAGCAGAAGCAGAATCAGAATCAGTTTTCAGAAGCTGGTACCTCTCAGCTTCTAAAAAAACTGATTCTGAGAGTAAATTAGAGCTCCAGAAGTGCTTCTGGAATTTCACCCAAACACTCCAGCTTCTGCTTTTGCTCCCTGAAGGAGCAGAATCAGTTTTGAGAATCAGATCCAAACACCCCCTAAGCAGTTCAACCCTTAATCCTTTCTTTTACTTCTCTGTCACAGATGATGAGATGAATCTGGGTAAACAGACGACGTCGAGTCCATATATATGTGTGTGAATCCGAAAAGTGCCAAAATCAAAAGCAGAATATATGTGTGTGGAATCAGAAAGTGCAAAAACCGGGCGGAGCTTCTGGCATCTCTGTTCCAGGAGCCATCGGTCAAGACTTCTCCCGGAGCCAGCAAAGACTTGCCAAGGATAAAATAGGAATGAAAGAATACTTCTATTTATTAATTTATAATTTAAATAATTCAGTGGCTGTGTTTAGTAATTGTGGGGCTGTGAATAGAATTACCCGTGACATTTTTCATAAGTAAATACTCCAATTTATATTTCAGCTTTGGTGCATTTGACAACCTCAACATATTGCACTAAAGCGGTCATTGTATTTTCTAGTAGAATAAGCCCAGACTAATGTGCCTCGAAGAACGCGCTAAAAATGTCATGTATTTCATTTTTATCGTCTAACTAAGATTTTCTCTACCAATTAAATTTGGTAAAATTTGTGTACTTCTAAATCATTTTAATTTTATTCTTACTTTATCAATTTAATATTAATCACATAAACCCACTTTTTCTAATAACTGCACCAAATCCTCATTTTTCAATGCCAGTGGAACGAAGGTAGTCTTAAATTATGTTCTGATGGTGTTTGTTGGACATTACTATATTTAGCCAATACGTTCTTTGAAATTGCAACTGGTGGTCAAGAATGCTTGGTTAACACATTAATTAAAGCCCTAATAGCACTCAAATATAGTATTTTAGCACCAAATATCTCTTTATTAGAGGAAGCAGTCCAGGTCGGTTGGTCGCCGACTCACTCTCCTTTATGGAAGGTCTTCGGCTCGAAACTCAATGGAGTGAGTTTCAGCCAAGCTTACTCCAGGCCTCTCCAGACCCCTCTCCCAGATGCCCCTCGGAGTAAAAACAAAACTCTTTACAGAGATGGAATGATTCATCATATACTTCGAGAGATTGGATCATAATTGGGAATTCAAAGTATTAAATTTATTCGTGTAGAATTTGCTCAAAACTTTCTCAACATAATTTGATAGAAGAGTGAGATTTTCATTATTTAAATCATCTCAAACTCCATGAGATATTTTGCAGCATTAACAATTTTATCGGGAGTTTCAATAATGTTTAAGTCATCAACATGTAATGTAGTTATGATGAATCCCTAATAAGATCGATGAATGAAAGCATGGACATATTTAATCATTTTTATACTCCATTTGTCCCTTAAAACTTTGTCATTTTTTTTTTGGTTGTCCCTTAAAATTTTGTCATGTTCCCTTTTAATCAATCAATTTGTGGTTCCTATTATTTTTCTCTCCCCTACACAAATTTCTACCACACAATTTTTACTTTATTATTCCTTGTGTCCATCAAACTTGACAAAGTTTTGAGGAACAGAGGGAGCATCATTCTTAATTATACATTCATTCAGACTTTTATGCAAAGTGTGTTGCTACCTTTGAATATATGTGCTAGAATAGATAAAGCTGAAAGCTCTAGGAGGACTAGAGATAGGGAAGGTACAAGAAAATAATTTGGCTTAGATGACAATGCTGGGATGGGAGCTCCTTTTCGATATCCCAAAGCTTTGGGTTAAAATTATGAAAGAAAAATATATTAAAAACTCATCTTTTCTGTAGCTTGGAGAAGAAAACGAGCTCTTCGCACATTTGGAGGGACAATCTGCACAGTCGGGATTAGAGTGGAAGGTAAGCACACAGAAAGAAATCTCATTCTGGTTTGATCATTGGGTGGGAGAGCCAGAGAGAGAGCACTCTATGAGGAATTGGGATCATTTCTTGGAGTGAATGCTGATTCTGTTACAGTTACTAATTTCATAACACAGAAACGCTCTTGAAAAATTGCAGAACTGAAATCTATTCTACCCGAGGCAGATGCAGACCGTGTGAGGGTTGTTCCTTTACCAACTATGGACATAATTGAAGATGCGTTGGTTTCGAGGTTGACAAACTCAAGTGTTCACTGCAAAAATCCACCTATGAGAGGGGATTTACATATAAAGAATAAATGGATGTTACTTGGATTTGGAAATTAGGAGCAACTGAGAGAGTTAGATTCTTCATGTGGTTAGTTATTAAGAAAAAGTTTCTCACAAATGTAGTAAAAAGGGATTTAACAAAAGAGTCATTATGTCCCATTTGCAATATGGTGGAGGCTCCACATGTTAAGAGATTGTAGATTTGATGCGGCTTGTTGGAGACAATTATGGAGAGTTTTGTCTATAGAGGGGTTGTGAATATGAATGTTTTGAAATGGGTTGAGACTCAGATCACTGCAAGAAGGAAAGGGATAGGGCATGGATAATTCCTCTTGCAACCCGCTTTGTGTTCAATATCTAGCAAATCTGGAAGGCACGCAATGTATGGGTTTTCGAATGGGTATATCCTGAGGTAAGCTATACGGTGAAATTGGCTCAAGCTAAAGCGGAGGAATATGCATGAACAATTGTTTTTAACGGCATCAAACAATCCAAAGTAACTAGAGTTATTAAATGGCATCCTTTTTTGAATGAGTATCTTAAACTTAATTGTGATGGTTCATGTCGAGGTAAAACACGAGATGCGGTGGCTGGTGGAGTTAGGATGTTTTTATTTGGATTAAAATTTGTTGGTCTGGTCTAATCTGTTTAAGCTTGATTTGGTCTGATAAATGTCTGGTTTTTGTGTATTTTATAACTTTGAAAGTCTGTCATAATCTGATCTGGTTTCTTGAAATCTACTCTGGTCTGTTTAAATCTCATCTGATCTGAGACTGAAGTAGTCCAAGTAAAAACATCATTATATGGAATAATGCAGAAGAATGGATGGTTGGTTTTATTATAAATGATGGAAAAATAGATAATTTCAATGCAGAATTATAGGGGCTTGATTACAATTTTCTTTCTCTTAGATCGCCAATGCTATTTTAATGAACACCCATTTTTTGTACATATACATCACAATTGCATAGCATAAGAGAGAACAAGAACTTGTCGATCATGACCGGCAAATGAATTTAGCAAAATTTTATACAGTAGTCCGTAAGTGTGAGTACAAAATTGATCCGTGGAATCTGAAGTTTGTTGCTCAGAATCAGATCAGACTTTTGAGTTACAAGAAAAATAAATGAATAATTGATACTTATGTGAGAGTCATCTGCGTCGTGTTAAAACATAGGAAAACCTAATATCAACAAAAATGAATAAATACATCTCCAAATGACCATTACAACAACACCCATTCTTCACGCATTTTCCATATCGCATGGACATGTTTCTGTGAAGCTTCCACATAAACCATTTGTACACTTCATTCTTTGGGTTCTCTCGACCGCTTTTGTTTTATGTCCCTCTCTATGTGCAAAGCCGCGGAGGCTAAACTGGACCCACCGCTCCTCACCGGATCACAGTTGAATTATTCTCATTCCCTATGAAGTCATCAGCACAACTTTGGCTTGGACAGAGACACTCGTAAGGATTAGAGTAAAAGTAATCTTCTTCTTTGGGCTTGTCTGCAACAACTTTACGACGGGCTGGCTGCCCGAATCTCCCCTCATGAGCCTGCCTAATTGCAGCCGAAAATCCTTCCCAAGAGAGTGTTCCATTCTGATGTAAATCCAACAATGGTACAAGACTTCTCCGGTCTAGTTGGATGGTTTTCTTGAACCCTAGATACCTGCACATGAAGTATAATATCAACAGTTGAATTTCTGCAGTCAAAGTGAATTTTCAATGTTAAATTTAGAACTGGTTTGGTAGGGCTATTTGGTAGAGAAGGATGAATCTTTAAAAACCAAAAGTGTCTGATCACATCTATTCCAGCAATATAATCGAGTCAAAGGCTACTTATTCTGCTTGATTATTCTGTTTAAAGCAGAATAAGTCACATTTGGCTACCAAATGGGCTTTAAGGATTATTACCTCCGGTGACCTTCTACAAGCTTAGCCATGTTGCCATCATAAGTGGGAATGAATACGTTACTGGCCACTGAGACTATGAAATCCAGAGCAGCCATTTGCGATGAATGGTTCTGGAAGTGTTGCAACTCTACGGGACCAAGTAGGGTTTCCTTCTTTACCTGTAAGTGCAATTAAGGAGATATGTAAGGAATAACTGTATCTACAAGGCTACAACAGCACTGTTGGTAAATGAGATACTAAATCTATAAATGAGGAGAAATCTGCAAGAACGGTCACTAAATTGTGACCCATGACTGCAGTTGGGCAATAAACATTAATATCACAATGGGTACCGACTGCCAAACTGTAATTTTTATTTCGCCCGTGATGCACAGGTTCCATTGCTAATTACGGGCCAATTTTCATATGTGGCAGCTGGATCTACATGTGATCACTCTACATTACCTTTTCAACCCGTTCAGAAAGGTAATTTTAGCTAAACTGAATGAACTTACCAAATAAGTACTCCATCCGTCTACTAAGATTGTCTTATCTTTCCTTTTCGATCTGTCTCACTAAGATTGTCCCATACGACCATATCAAATTTGGTAAAGTTTGTGTGGTTCTAAATCATTCTTACTTTATTTTTACTTTATAAATTCAATATCAACCACATAAACCCCTTTTTCTTAATAACCACGTCACTTCTTCATGTCCCAATGTTAATGGGACGGAGGTAGTATAGTTTTGATAATGGATTAGACTAATAACAAACAAAGTATCAGGATTACGCCAATATGATTATTGGGCATTCACGTGAAGATCTGAATGCCATATAGGATAATGCAATTGGCCATAAATCTGTGACGTAACCATCAACAACATCGAAGCCTTAGTCCCAAAAGATTTTAAGGTCGGCTAATATGAATCGATACATCATATCGGAGCCGAAAGGGAAGAAAGATAAAAAGATAAGGCATGATAAAAATAGATACTCCCATCATATAAAATAGAGATAAGATATACACAAAAGTGATAAGATAAAATGATAAAAGGAAAATATACATACAAATAACCATCAATGGAATAAAAATAGTTGTTCAGTACCCATTTCAATACAAGTTTAAAGTTTAGTGTCCAATTCAATGTATGGAGTATAGTTTGATGAACAGTAATGTTGTTTCCTACAAAAAGTGTTGAAACTATGCCCATGAAATAAGCCTTAGCCTGATCACAACATCCTAGGAAAAAAGTAATATCATATTGCAAGGCGCATTAAAAAATCTAGAGCATCTTTCCAATTATAGTATGCTTGGATCCCAGAAATGCCTTATGAAGGAAAAATATGCCATGAAAAGTTATTTTCTTTGAGTTTGGTTTTCCCACAGGTGTATAGGAAAATAAAAATATGATTGGTGCTTTAACTATTTTTACATTTTAAGGTTTCTTACTCTATATAATAGAAATAGAAAATTAAAAGTAGAATTGGAACAAATATAAAAAATAATGTTATTGAGTTCAAATATGTTTTGTTTTCCCTTACATTTGCTTTCCTTCCAATTTTTCCTTGTACTTTCCACTCTGTTTTTTCATTAGCCATTTCCCAGTTAAAAAAACCTTCCAACAAAGTGATACTCTTTCTAGAAATAACATGTAGTTTTAGGTTAAAATCAAATTCACATTTAAGGCAAGAGTTAGGCAAGAGTTTAAGATGCACATCAAGATCGGGATGGTTACGAGAAACACCTAGTAGCACTTACAATCCTCGGGAATGCCGATCTTAGAGCCGCAAGCCTACGTCCACTACCATATATCTCACCAGATGCAATGTATATTTGTGTGTCCTTGGCAATACCCAACGCTTGCAAGACTAATGCTGCCTCCTCCGGGGTAAGAGGACATAAACCTTGTGATCTCCTCTCTTTGGAGTCTATCTCTTTTTCCCTCCACCAAGGGAATGCATACCTGAAAGGTGCCCAGAAAAAACCTCATAAATAAGACATAAAAATGTTCTTTCTTCAATGCATGTAAATATGTAATTACAAAGTAAAAATGAACAACGAAATTGATATTCATTAAAATGTATTTATGTTAGATTTCAATCAATGTACACACCTTAATCGTTTGAGTTCATCAGCTTCCTCCAGTGTACAGCCATGAGTACAACCTGAGAAAGCCAACATGTCCATCTCATATCTTAGATGCAATGCAACGTAAGGCCCTTTCTCTTGCAGCATGTCAACCAGTTTTTTACCCAAAGCATCAATCTGGGGAGTAAATTTTAGGTTCTCAAAATTGACACGGCATCGCAGTCTCTGAAGCTCTAGAGGTATGCCATTATTGGCCAGTCTTGCATCTGTCCTATTGAAGTGTATGACCTTGTGCTTGTTGTATAGAGGGAGAATCTGTAGAGCACATTATAAATAAAGCATCACATCAGTTTTTCTTTTTGTCTCTATGAGAGTAAATGCTATGATAATGTGCAGGAAAAACCTGTTCCAAGTAGTACTTTTCATTTGACCAGCTAATAGGAGGCATTACAAGAGGTTGGTGGCCATATCTCCTGCTAAATCTCTTTGGTAACCTTCGAATGATCTTAACTTCGTCTCTTAATGAATCAATGAAGTGTCTTACATCAAAAATATCCTCAAAATTGCTGCAAACGGAGATTTTTGGGGGTTATTATAAAGAATTGACTGAAAGATGAGAAGTTACTTTCTAATAAGTTAGAACTTATAACATGTAAGACTCAATCACCTAGTATCTGCCCAGAAAGATGTCTTGTCAAGCTCTGGCACAACTAACGTTAAGTTTAAAAATCGTGCAATTGTCACCATGTCACATATCTGCAATACCAAATTGATCAGTTTAGTCTTTACTTACATTCTGACACATTAAGGAAAGAAGTATCTGATTTAGTCGGAAGAAGGATATATGTGGATGGTGGTACCATACTGCCATGTTCAACCAGAGAGAGTAAAGGATAAAAGATAATAAAAAAAGAATGAGTACAAACCGCAGCACGCATTTGATTCAAGCCACCATTGCAAGAAACTCTAAGAAAACCGTTGCTTGTGTAGTTTCCTGCAATATAATGTAAATCACCATCTCATGGACAAAACTGACATATATTAAGCAGTTGCAAAAGCTTTGATAGATTGAATTCGAGAACTTATATATCCAATTATTTTACAAAACTGAATTTTCATAGAAATTTCTCTTGAAAAATTTCCCTCCACTTTTAGCCCTGCTTCAAGAGATATAAGTGCAGGTGGGACCACGTGTTTATGTATTTGCCACACGGAGTATAGTACTAGAAATTGTAAGATACAAAGCCACAACGGAAGGTCATATTGATGAAAGTCTCCTAAAAATACTTGTACAGCTCATATTCCAAACCCGTTAAAACTAATGTGTCAAGAAAGTTGCTACACTTTCCCTAAACAGCTACACTTAGCAAGTATACGCGTGTTTTTAATACCAAGTGACTTGTTTTATATTCCGTAGTATGCTCTTCAAATTACACTTCCACTAAAAATTTCTCAAATAATCAGCATTGAAATGCCAACTTAGATGAGGCTTCATTTATATACCCAAAAACCCAGCAGCATTAGAATCAAATTCCGAATCTTTAGATAGACTAGATTTCATATTAGCTAAACTTCACCAACTTTCCAGCAACAATGATCCACGAACAGAAATCTACAAGCTACCTACCAATTTCATCTAATAAATTCCGAGCAAGAGAATGTTGTGACCTTAAATCAAACACTTACTTGCCGGAACAACAGGCGGAGGTGGTGGAGCCTGCAGTTCATTGTCGACTCCTTTGGAGATTGTAGAAACTCCAGCAATCTGGCGCGGATGCCATAGCTCGGAAACCGCAATGAGCTGAACCAAACAGGTCCATATTAGAATGCTGGAACAAACCCTAATAAACCAAACCTGCAGCCTTGTCCTCGGGATCACCGGCCCTCCTCCCTGCAATGGCTGAAATTTATCACCCTTCACTAGCACCGACACGGCCTCCGATCTACTCCCCTCCATTTCACTCCCCCGTCACTCCGCATCGCCGGATCCTTCACCCACGGATCAAATCACGCGCTAGTAGCAGATACAAACATCGAAACGCGAGTTGTCTTGACGAATCAACGCAGTTGATTGAGAAAATGTCGCAAATTTTCAATCTTCACCGATAGGAGAATTTACGGACAACGACGACGCGACTAATGCAAAAAAGGAAAACAATGAAAACTTTAATTAATGCGTTTTTATAGTTTAAGAAAAACGGTCCGAGACAAATGTAGTAAGGAGTCGGGAGTCAAGTCTTTGAATGAATTCTGTGTCTGATTAATCATGGAAAGTCTCTTCCGAGAAAGGAAGAACAAACTAGCATGTGAGAGAAATTGATAACAAGAAATCTAGAATCTAGAATTCTGACCAGGAGGAGAAGATAGAACTTTCCAAATATTTTAAGTAAAATTCACACTAATAATCTTTAATTTACACTTTATAAAAATAATCTGTAACATAAACAACAATATTCCATATTTGTTAATTGCTTTCATAATGAACTCTAATTGGATGGTGTTAATTTTTTAAATACATTATTATTATAAAAGAAAAATAACAAAGAAAAATTAAAATCTACTCCGTATAATACTTACTCCCTCCGTCCCCTTTTAAATGAGACGGGAGATGGTGGCACGGGTTTTAAGAAAAGTGAGTTTGTTTGGTTGATATTAATTGATAAAGTAAGAATAAAGTAAGAATGATTTTGAGCCACACAAAGTTTACCAAATAAGGTATGGGGCAATTAAATAGGGACATCCCAATATGATAAAACGGGACATTTAAAAGGGGACGGAGGGAGTATAAACCATTTGCATCCTCAAGAAGCGTACTTTTGTTTTTATGGAGGTGCTTCGTGAAAAATAATAATAGCTTTATGCTCTATTTGCTCTGTTTCAATAGAGTGAACTTAAGTAAATTTAGTACAATAAAGTAAACCTAAGTTTTAATAAAAATTATGTTAACTTAAGTGAACCTAGGTTTCTGTGTAAAATAGTGTTTAAAATAAATAAGGTGAACCTAGGTTAATGTAATACATATTGTTTGGATGAATGTACTCTAGCTTATTTTATGTTGAACAAGAACTTAACCTCCAAAATCCCGCTCTTCGAAAGTTCTTCAATTTGACGTGTTTCTAGGTTCTCGAGAGTTATGTGAGATTAAGTCATAACCTAGATTCTTGTTGCAAAAACACAAACAAACGAGGTTAACTGAAAATTGAACCTGCAATAACCTAGGTTAACCCCCAAATAAACAGGCCATTAGGTGTTCATGAACTGCATAAGCATGACACTTTTATTTCATTTTCGAAAAATGTGTTAAAATGTGACAAATTTTTCATTTACAAGAAGCACTCCTATTAAAACTCCAAAGTTTTGCTTTAAAACTATGAGATTTCTTAATACTAATGCCCAAATCATTAACTCATTCTCTTGTATGATTAGCTCACCAACCCCAACTTCTTTACCCTTTCCTCGACTAGATCCATCACATTCAAGTTTAAAATATTATGATTCTGAAGAAATCCAAGTAACAACTTTAGCCTCTCTACGTTGCTTGGTACAATTATAATTACTTACATTTCCTCAATACCTACATTTTGAACTTATTTTATTACTAAACATTTTTCATTCGAGATCAGAAAATGTGCCTATGCACCACAACTGGGATTGGATGCATCTATCACTCAACAGTTTTTGGAAGATTTTGAGGAAGTGGTGCGACGAGTGCCAAGGGGAGAGAAGATGGTCATAGGAGGCGACCTCAACGGGCATGTAGGACCAAGTCACGATGGTTTTGAGAGTATCCATGGTGGTCATGGTTTTGGCACTAGAAATGAAGCGGGGAAGAACATTCTGGATTTTGTCTAGACATATGAGTTGGCCATGATGAACACTTTGTTCAAGAAAATATACTCTCATCTTGTGACCTGTAGAAGTGGAGTTAATAGTACCCAAGTTGACTACTTTTTAGTATGGACGACTCGGAGAACTAGCTACACTGACTGTAAGGTTATCCCAGGTGAGAGTATCGTCACTCAACATAGGATGCTTGTACTTAATTTCCAAGGTAAAACGAGAAGGCGGGTTAAGTTACAAGGGGAGCCAAAGATAAAGTGGTGGAGGGTCGAGGGGAATCTCCAACAAACTTTTGCACAGAAAATGTTGGAGGAAGATGTATGGTCCATTGATAATGACACACTTGTCGATAATGTGTGGTTATCAATGGAGTCCACCATTAACAAAGTTGCGAAAGAGATACTTGGAAAATCTAAAGGATGTCTACCACAAAAAGAGGACACATCTTGGTGGAATGATTAGGTGAAACAAGCAATAAGGACCAAAAGGGAATGCTATAAGAAATTGGGCAAAAGTTGGAGCGAGGGGAACATAGAGGAGTACAAGGAGGCTAGAAGAAGGGCAAAGAAAGATGTAAAGGAAGAAAGAGGAAATGTGAACAAAGAATTGTATGCAAAATTGGACTCTGAGGAAGGAGAAAAAGATATTTACAGACTTACTCGTCTTCGTGATCGTAGGACTCAAGATATCGAAAAAGTTAAGTGTGTGAAGGATGTCGATCAAAGGGTATTAATGGAGGAAGGGGAAATAAAGGAAAGGTGGAGGTCATACTTTGATACCTTGTTCAACGAGAATAAAATGCAAGGTATTGATGATCTTACTATACCAGAGTGTAAGGTAAATCGGGACTTCATGAGAAGGATCCAAATAACAGAAGTTAAAGAAGCCTTGAGAAAGATGGGGCAGAAGAAAGCAGTGGGCCCAAATGGTATATCGATTGAGGCTTGAAGAAATTTGGGAGAGAAAGGCATTGAGTGGCTAACACGTTTCTTCAACATGATTTGTAGAAACAACAAAATGTCAATGAGTTGACGTAAGAGTACTCTCATTCCCTTATTTAAAAATAAGGGTGATATACAAGAATGTGCCAACTATCGAGGGATTAAGCTTATGAGTCACACTATGAAATTTGGGAGCGAGTGGTTGAGCAAAGACTTCGAAAAAGTGTGAAAATTTCGAACAATCGGTTTGGTTTTATGCCTGGGCGCTCAACAACTGAGGTCATTCACCTTCTTAGACAAATTGTGAAGAAGTATAGAGACACTAAAAAGGATTTGCATTCGGTGTTCATTGACTTAGGAAAGGCATATGATAGGGTACCTCGAGAAGTCCTTTGGTGGGCCTTAACTAGAAAAGGCATATCACGTAAGTATATCAGTACCATCATAAATATGTATGAGGCTTGTACGTACTAATGTAGGGAGGACCGCAGAGTTCCCTATTACTATCGGAGTGCACCAAGGATCGGATCCAAGTACTTTCTTATTTGCTATAGTCATGGATGAACTTATGAAGTCAATTCAAGAAAATATATCATGGTGCATGATGTTTGCCGACGATATTGTATTGATTGATGAGACACAATCGGGTGTTAATAAAGCAAAGTTGGAAGTATGGTGACAAACTTTGGAGACCAAGGGTTTCAAACCAAGCTGAAGTAAGACTGAGTGTATGGTGTGCAAGTTTGGTGGAGGTAGAAGTAGTAGCAACAGTGGTATTACTCTTGATGGTAAGGAGCTACCGATGTGTGATATGTTTCGTTATTTGGGCTCCATAATTTAGAAGGATGGTGAATTGGATGGAGGTGCATCTAATAGAATCAGAGTTGGGTGGATGAAATGGAAGAGCGCATCAGGATTTCTATGTGATCGAGGTATGCCGACTAGACTGAAAGGTAAATTTTATTGAACAACAATTAGGCTTGCTTTAATGTATGACGTACAGTGTTGGGCAGTGAAACAATGTCACATTCAAAAGATGAGTGTGGCAGAGATGTGTATGTTGCGTTGAATGTGTGGACATACCAGAATAAATCGTTTGAAGAATGAGATAATCAGACAAAATGTGGGAGTAGCACCTATAGAATATAAGACGCAGGAGTCTCGTTTGCGGTGGTTTGGGCATGTGCGTAGAAGACCGAGTGATGAACCTGTTAGACGACTTGAGGGGTGGGGAGAAGAGACAGAGAGGAGGGGGAGGGGAAGACCCAAACAGACTTGGATTAGAGGAATCAGAACATATGTGCGTCTTCTTGGGTTGGATGAGAGTATGGCTTTGGAGAGGGCAAAGTGAAGGACGCACATTCGTGTGGACGATTGATCTTTTTTCTATTTTTCCTCTCTCTTTTTCATTTCCTTTCTTTTATCGCTTATCTTCTTTGTCTTTTTATGTTCTTATGTTATTTTTATCTTCTCCCTTTTTATGTAATTTTATCTTTCATTATTTTATCTTTCTTATATTTTTATGTTATTGTTATCTTTTCTTTATTTATATTTATCATATTCGTTTTATCATTTTTCTTCTTCTTCATGTCTGTCTTTTCTTTTTGGCATCGATATTCATGGATCGATTCATGTTAGCCGACCCCATAACCTTTTTGGATTAAAGCTTGGTTGTTGTTGTAGTAGTAGTACAGAAAATGTCTTAAATAAGCTTATGCCAAGTAATAATAATTTTATCATAAAATAGTATTTCATTCAATTGAATTAACAAGAGACATCAAATAATAAAATTTCACTATGTTAAAAATAGTCATCATAAACTTCATACTAATATTTAATGTAATTCTGTTCAGAATATATTAAATATCTCTTACAATAACAAAAAAATATTGATAATAATGAAATATTTATAAGTAATAAAGAGGTAAAAAAGAATGTAGCAAGTATAAGTCCATATATCTAAACGTATTTTATGAGAATTATTTTATAGTAAACTATTTTTTAGTGATAATATATCTATATCTCTTACATCAAACTATTTTTATATTTTTTCCATTTCAATGAATAGACAAAAAATAATGAAAACGTTAAATACGAATTACTTCACAAAAAAATTAATTAGGTAATGACATTATCAAATTTGCTGCATAATTTTGGAGGTTTTCCCTAAATATTACTCTCTCACTCTCATTTTGTAAGATATTTTTCATATTCACTTGGTCAACACAAATCACTCTTAATCTTTTTATAAATCAATTTTTTTTATCAAATTTGATTCATGTTTTTGTGACTTTGTAAAGCTTTTAATGTAATTTATGAATATGTAATTCTTTTTTCTAAAAATAATTTGAGTGCGGACAGGGATCCGTTTGCTTTATCATTGATCAAACATCGTAATCCGTAAAATGTCTTACAATTAGGGACGGAGGGAGTACTAAATTGAAACCAATTTTCAAAAATGTCACTACTTTTTAATATTAACAAAAATGTGAATAACATGGTCATATATTTGAAAAATGTGATGTTACTGTGATTTTTCATGTCACTAAGAGTTGTCATTGT